AAATTAGAAGTTGACAGAATACATAAAATTTCATTCGCAGACAATTCATATCCTAGTGCAATCATTTTCCTTCGCAGCTTATACACCCTACAACGTTCCGCATTAGTTGGCATTTTGTTTTCCTTATTTTCCTTATTCTTCTTCCCACGAAGACGGTATTCTTTACAGTTCTATGCATTAGTTTTAGGCATCTCGAAAACTTAAACAGAAATTTAAATTTATACTGATCTATGTAAAAAATATCAAAATATTGAAATTAGTCCACACTGAATATAAGGGAGTTGTATTAAAATACTTCATGCGTCAACGGTTATTGCACGGGGACAGCACTAGTTCCTGCTCGATCATTTAAGTCAAGCAGAGCTTGAGTATGATTAGAACTTGGATTGGTGATCGCTTGAGAGGAAAAATCAGGAAGAAGAAGAGAAGACTTCATATCGTAAATTTGAAATCGCAAACCCGAGCATAGTAAATATTGACAACTTCGTGGTGTCGATTTTTCGGTCACATCGTAAAATTACACTCATTACTTTTTTCTAAATGCGCGGTAAAAGAAGTACAACTTCTAAAAGAGCCTGCTGCACTTATTGAAAAAAAAGTGCAATTTTACAGTCTTTAAAATAAAGAAACACATTAAACATAATTAAATTACCTATTTTATATATTTATTGTTTAATGAGTGTTTGAATTTACATTTTTCTTAAATTTCTCTGCGTTTATATTGAAATATCGATGTAGTTCTAGCATTGTATTAGTTTCAGTTTTCCTAGCAAGTAGTTGTGAGTAGAAAAGATGATATTTCTCCGGAATGATTCGAAAAAAACATAGCTTCTAGAAATCTTTCATTTCTGCTTTAGAATTAGGAAATTTAGGTATGCTTTTATCGGCTAAAAAACTTCTCTACGTCTACTTATTCAGTCATCAACGTTAACTATTGATTATTAACTGTWGTATAAACTATTGCAGTTTGATCAAAAATACAATTTATTGAGATCATCTTTCTGAAATCAAAAAGAATTTATTTTAGGCAAGTTTACCTTCTGACTGTTTCCGTGTATAGAAGGTATATTCTAAACCAAATAATATGTTACTTACAAGAAGACGGTCAGTAGGTTCCACCTCAGATTTTTTTCAAATTTTGTACACTTGCAGTACTCCATCAGAAAATTCATTCTGCTGTAAACAAACCGTAGAAAACCAGCTGTTTGCGAAAAAAAGCAAAATAAAATTTCACATAGATACGTATTTCTTTTGCTGTAGTAGTTTAGTAGCTACAATAGCAGCGCTGTGTGTTTATTTTAATATCGCCTAAACTTCTATCTTTTCTTGAAACCGCTAACAAGTATGTTTACCTTTCTTTTTCTCTTCAATCTTTTCTTTTCCTTTCTGTTTCTTTGCTTTCTTATTTTATTTCTTCGTTATTGTGAAGTTAGCTTAATAAATTTTCTTTTATTGTTTTAAGAGTATTTCATATAAAAATTTTATAGAAAATATAATTAAAAAAGAAAAATGCATTTGTTTTATAGGAAGTTTGAATTTATTTTTTGCTAACGATATAAATTTTATTAAAAAATCAACGTTATTACGCAAGTAATATAATTACTGATTATAAATTAAATAATATACAAAAAAAACAAAACTTTATTTTTAGCGTACCGGAAAGATACAGTTCGAAGAAATAACAAAAGAGATTTTTTATAATATGTCTAAGAAATCATTTTCTTTTATTTCATCTTACTAATTTCCTAATTGCTTATTATTTTCTTACTTTCACATTGACATACATTGCTATTGACATAAGAGTTTAATAAGAAAACTGAATATATGAATATGTATGAGAATCAATATATTCTGGGCGAGAAATCTTTAGGAAGCACATCAAAAAATGTTTATTTGGACTATAAGACAGCTGATTGAAATAATAAAAACTTAACAAAATAGGTAAAAATGTAACGAAAATGAACAGGTGCTATTGCAATGGCGATTGCAATCCTAGTTGCTTAATGAATTTAACGTCCTGTTTAAGCGAATACCCTGCCTTTGTTTGTCTTCCTTATTTTTATAAAGCTGATCCTACTCCAAGTAATCAGGTCGTAGGTATGAGGTCTTCCAAGGAAATTCATAGTTATCAGATTACTTTCGATCTTGTAAGTATTTTATATTATTAAATAGTAATAAAAWGTAATGATTTTTTAAAAGATTAATTATATAGGTACTAGGTTAAATTTATTCGATTAAAGCATAGTGATATAGTAATATATTTTATAACAATTGCTTATTATTTTTACTAGCTTCTGTAAATATTATAATAGATAACTTACGGTTTCTTAAATAGGTATTTGACTTTACTGCAAATTATTTCTATTGCTTTCATTAACTTTTATTGTTAAGGAAAAATTTTGTAGTTTTCTAGGCGACAGGAATTATTATGAAATTTTCTGCTAGATTACAAATTAACATGTCTCTTCAATCTTTATAAGGAGACGTGTACGTATATTGTTTAGCTTAAGTAAAAGTATCAAATAACCTAAATGCTAATTACTCTTTAAAAAAACAAAAATTTTGTTTATTGAATTTATAAATTTTATTCACTATTTATTTCTTTTAAGGTCCTTACAAAATTTCTTACAGATATACTTTCCAATATTTTTGTATTCAATGGAATTTAATGCTCCTAATTAAATGATTTCGGCATTGCAGGATGTACACTATAATGCACACGTATATACAATTGTAAGTTATGTACCTTGTTCAATGAGTATTATATGAGCTTTTAGTATTATTACATGTATTATCTATTTTTCCACTGAAAAAATTAAAACCGTAAATTCTTAATAAACTCATAAGTTTCTACTTTTTTAACGTAATATAATTACTTTTATACACATTATTTTTATTTAGTGTTTTCGCCAGCGTCCACGCGACATTCCATTGGTTAAATTAAATATAGGAGGTGACATGCAAAATTGAAGGAATTCTTTAATATAAAGCCTTAAAAATCTTTAAAAAAAAAAAATTATGTATTATCCTAAGTATTTAAAATCAAAGTAAAAGTATTTACGTAAAAAGTAACCGTTGATTTTACTTATAAATCCAATAAAAAGAATTACAAATGTTTATGCCTGACAAATGTTTTGTGTATGCCAATTGTCATAAAATCTTATGACATATTATCTTTAAACTGTCCGCTTAGTTTTTACAAAATCTTCATGTTAGAACTTATTTATTTTCAAGTCTGGAAACCTCTTTTTTCGGAACAAATTTCTTTTATGTTTATATTAAATGCAAAAAGATGATCAGAATTTAAATATAAGGAATATAAATCAATATCGTAATAAATTAAAATTTAGATTTTTACTCAGGGTTTTTACTCCTGTTGTAGCAACAACAAAAACACGGGTGTTTGTACTTATGTTCGCACGTCAGAAGTTATACTTCTTTAGCGTAACAAAACAAAATAAAACGTCAATAACCTCAAAGATAACTTCCAAAGAAACTCAAATCATCCCGCGCAATATACTGTACATTTGTAAAAAAAAGACGGTAAAATAATAAATATATCATCTATCAATAGATTATATATCTATAACTATTGTTGCGTATCCTACGCAACGAGTGAGTATGGCGAAGCGCCGGGGTGTGTGCGGCCCTGCCAAGGTGTGAGACACGCGCGACAAAGCAGTATCTTTGTCTTTAGTGGTAACCACAGTAGCGCCAAGATGTTTGTAAGGGCTCCTTTTTTCTTCTAGCTCGCGTTCTCCCACCACATTTATTACGCCAATCACATGTATCGGCAGCCGCGTTATGCTCGGGCTTTTCGGTGATTGGTGCAGCATTGCATCGCTTTTTTGTATAAAGCCCAGCGCGTTCTTGCGCCTATCATCACTCTTGATTCATCACGCGTGAAGCATCGCTCGAGATTCATCTAGCTTAGATAGCTGAGACTTGCCAGAACTACTTCGAGGAGAATTATTTGTATTGCGCAATACTACATTATTTAAGTTCGGCCAGCGACAAGGGACAAAGGCGGTCCTGCATGTGGCCAGAATTATCCTGATTTGTACGGATTCTTCGTCAACGTTTTCAACCAGGGTTTTTATGCCGAAAGGCTTTTCCCTGACGAGCAAAATAAAGTGTACTTTTTAGTACTGACTGGGCTCAAATATATTTGTTATTGTGTTTTATTTTCCTATCCTCCTTCCCATTAATAAACAATCTCGATATCACCCGTGAGGGCATTTTTCGATTCACTACAATTCACTGGAGTACCGATTAAGGCATCCTTGGCCTTAAAAATATGAAAAAAAGAATAGTTACGGGTAACCCAAAAGGAGTAGTACCATAAAACTTTTTTCGTCGGAACATTAAACCCTTTATTTTTTACATAATTTTGTATAAGACCCCAAGTAATTGAATTTGGAACTGAGGAAACAACATTATAAATTAAAATCTTTTCGTTTAAAGGTAAATATTTGTTTTTTCTCTTTGAGAGATTTATAATCTGTGGTATAGACCTACGAAAAAAGTTCCATCTCATTCACTGTAAATGTTATTATAACAGTACATTTGAGAGATTTTTCAAAAAAGAAGAAAAAACTGACTGTTTTTGTACAACGTCCCACGCGGCAGCAATAATGTTGTTGACAACATAGTCGGCAGAAATGATGTCGCGAATAAAGTTTTCATTACAATATAACGTATGTAAAACACCAGTCGCACTACCTACACCTGTTACTCCATATAGATTACCGCAACACCTGTTATTTCATATAGATTGTTTATCCAACCGGCAATTGGTTCCTTTCCCGTTGAGACAACAATGTCTCCGAACGATGCAAGTAGGAATTCCATTTGAATATTGCCGTACAGTATCTTCACAAATTGCCTTTGAATATGCGTAAGTGTTGGGCCAKTTACCAAGTAGCCTGTTAAATAAACGAATTTGCTCATCGATTTAGCTCTAAAAAAAAAAGGTAATAGAATTCTTGTTTTATTACTTTAGGGTAATTATAAAGTTAAATGATCTTCGTTCAAAATCTCTGTCCATTTAATTATGTCTTCTGTCTTWATAGGTGGCTTATAGAATTTTTCTTCAATTTTATTATATACGCAGTGCGAATATGCCGTTGATACATAGACAAAGGCCTAAAAAAAACATTTATTTTAAAATAGAAACAGTTTTTTTTTAACTAAATTCAATGTTTAAATAATTAATTTGGAAAACAGTACCTTCAAGCTTTTCATCTCCTGTGCAAGCAAGAGAAGATCCCTTGTTCCTCTAACATTCGTATTAATTATAAAACGAATATTATCCATAAAACGCACGGATGCTGCACTGTGGAAAATCAAATCGATATCTTTAATGCGTTCGCGGTCTTTTTCTGACATTCCTAAATTCAATTGACTSGTGTCTCCTTCTATCAGAATAATCTTGTTTTCGACATCTTTCAGCTCTCTCTCTTTAATCTATCAAAAATCTGAAAATTTAGGTATACCTGGTAGTATAGGTGATATTTTTTATTGACATAATAATTAGTACAAATATCGTAACTTGACTTACAACATCATTAAAAAACTCTTTGAATCGAGTYTGCGGATCCTGCTGTTTTTTTGCTCTTATCAGCAAATAAATCGTTGTAATTTCTGGACAACATCTAAATGTAGCAATGCATTTATAAAAACAGTCTTTTTTCGGAAAATACATACTAATATATGAGTAGTTGTAGTAAATAAGTAATACAGAAAAAATAGTATAATAAGCGACGATGTTTATTAGTGACTCGGTAGATTATTGACTAAGGATAGCTAATCTGTGACCCGCGCGTCAACCATAAATTCACAGAGACCTCTGAATTCAAAATTACGCGTCAATTTTGTTGAGTTTTTTTTTTTAGAATTAGAAATATGACTTTTTTATAGCTCTATACTTAATCTCTGACCTACAAATGTGAAGCTTCAAGCAGTGTTAACCGAATTTGACCAACGCATCTGAAAAGTTCGCTATTCCTGCTATAGGCATTTAAATTTCTAATACATTTTACTTGTATAAATTATATCTTTCAACGAATATCTATGGTTATTCTATTTTATTATTCCTTACCTTTTTACTGAAATTTGTAAGAAAAGCATATTATATTAATATAATAATAATAAATAATAAATGAAATCCTTATTTATTACAATATTTAAAAATCTGTAAAAATTTGTAGGGATAGTTGCTATTATAAAGATAGAGTCTGAAGAATTTACAATTCCTTTACCAGGTAGTTTAAAAATAATTGAGTATTTATAAAAAAAAATTCCTTGCTATTTAAATAAAAAGCTTACATTGCTGTGCGGCAAAAGTTTAAAATTAGGGTGTAGATTTTAAACTCAAGTAATATTCTTTTTTTTTTATTTCTAACTATCATAACCTCTAGAAAGATAAACATTCAAAATTACTCCAAATAATGACCTCCCCTATATATTTTACATAGTATCAAAATTTGTTAAAAATTTATGATTAATATCTTATAAGGAATGTATAAGTTAAATCAAGAACGAAATCATATATAAAACATTTGTACCTCAAAAGTTTTGCCATTATAAGTTTTTCTAAAAATCCTAAGCCTCCTGTTACGAGAATTTCTTTTCTAGAATAGAATGTAGCAATTTCACCTCGTTGAATATAATAATTTGGTTCTTTTACCGTAGAAAACAGTTCCTCTTGATACGTTCGGCCGCTTAATGACACCATTTTTAGGATTCTATTATAATAACACAAAAATATTACATGCAAACAACGTAAGCAATTTCAATAAATAATATAAAAGAATGCCGGGCAAATTTTAAAAATCAATAAATATGTATAAGTGATAGAAATAGAAGCATCTGATAATGATTGAGGTCATAGTTGTTCGTTTTCCGGTAACTGGAAAATTTCCCTTTAATAAATTTAAAAATAATCTATTATAATGACAAACGCGTAAATGAAATCAGTATATTTATTCTCAAAAAATATTTATTTTGTATAATTTAAAATCTTCTAAAAAATTACGTATAGGAAGGAACATTTATTTAAATATTTCTTATGACTGTGAAGCCACTTTCATAATCAATGCAATAGAATTTTATGAAGAACTAGGTATGTAGGTTACTGATTTAAAAGAGGATTTTAACAAACTAAGAATCAAAAACGCATACTCAATAAAAAAACCGTTGATTTTATTCTAAGATACTTGATTCAACTACTGTTGCATGTCGGCACCTGTACATGGATTAGCTTGTCTCTGGATATATTGAGACAGAAATTATTTCTTTTCTAGACTGAAGAAGGTAATCCTTCAACTGACGGGGCCTGGGTCTAGTGACTGCCAGGGCTCTGAGTTTAGACAATATAAGATTTATAAATAACTGATAAAATAAACTTTCAGCGCCAATTAGATTTTCTTTTACAAGTGTATTATTTATACTATCCAATCTGTGCAGTTCCGACTAGCAGAAAAATAATGAGACAAGCACAGGCGACAGGTGTTTTTTATACCAAAATAAAAAAAATTCTACTCTCAGTGGAGCTTGTATAGTAGTCAGTGAAATGTAATTCAAGAATAAATAATATACGAGAAATAATAATATAAAATAAAATAGTAATAAATTATGTGTAATGAAGAATAATCAATTGGAATACATGTAATTATTAATATTAATGAAGATAGTAACGCAATTAAAGTTGTACATTAAAATAGAATATAATACAAGAAACAAATAAAAAACTCAAATTAAGAATATTATATCACATCAGATATAGAGTGTAATGTAAGAGAATCAAGTATAAAAAACTGACGATATCGCTTCTACAGTGAAAAAAATTGTACAAGTTAACAACTTACAGAGTTCGTAAAAAATTTCAAATAGTCCTAGCTATTAGACGGCTGGCGGAAGAATACCGACAACCTTCTTCTCCATGACACAGAGGTTTTCCATTATAGCAACAACGTCTGACATTGCCATCGCAATCGACGAATCGCTTGATATTATTTGCTTATTTCAATAATATTAGCATTTCCTAACTGACCTCGTACTTTAAATATCTACAAGTGCATTCTTCAAAAATACAAATGTTATTATAGGAATAAGGAGAGTGAGAGAGAGCGAGAGAGAGAGAGAGAGAGAGAGAGAGAGAGAGCCATTGAAAATATTTATTCAAAATACGTAAAGAAAAAAGAAAGTTATTCAAAACAAAATTTATGACTTTTTTATTCTCTTCTTCTTTTTCTTCTTCGAAGAAAGAATAATAAACTTTTCTTAATACAAATAAGAAATTTTAATTAGCCTACTTGTGTCACATAGGAGACTTAAATGATATTTTAAATTATATTTTACCACATTTTTCACGCAAAGACATTTCATAGTTTGGCACTTTCTTTTATAAGTACATTTGATAAATCTTTGGTCGCTTCCATTGGATTGTGCAATTGCAACTGACCAAAGATCTCGCATATAATTGTTTTAAAATTCCTTCAGAAGTTCCAAGTCGATAAAAATCATCCTCTGTCATACTCATTAAAACAGCCAATATATTGCAAAAATCATTCTAAGAGCATAGAAAAAACAAATTTTATTTTCAATAGAAAGCAGGTATAAAACATTTTGTTTTAAACCCACTTACCTTCCGAAACGATAAAGAACAAAAGATACAGATTTTCCGTAAACATCTCTACGAATATCTGTCTAAATATAATATATTCTTCTTCTACGATAAGTAACACACAGTGGATCCTACATAATAACACACCGGTATAGAGTAAGTTCCAATTTCTACAAGTGCGCAAAGTCTTATAAACCCGCGTATAAAAACCCGCACACTAGAATTCACGGAGCAGTCGAGGTGTTTAATTAGTTAAAAAAATATTTGGTTTTTACTATGTGCTCTTCGAATGATTTTTAATAAAATACAGGAATAAAACAATTTGTTCTAAACCCGCTTATCTTCCGATACGATAAAAGACAATAAATACAGATATTCCGTTATAGCGACATGACAGTCTCAACAACCCCCACCATGCTCATTTTTGTGTGTGTGTATTGGAGCGATTAGCGGCTTGTTTTTTAGGAGGGGGATGCATCGGGCCTGTGCTCGAGGATGTATTTTTTTCCACGTTGTTTAAATTGTAATTTGATATTTTATAGAGTATCAAAGTATTATGTTCAATACCTAGGAAAAATTGAAAGAATTTTTCAATTTCCGACTTCGTTTGAAGGCTCTTTACATTCATAGTAATGCCGAGGGTTTACTAGTAATGCCTGATTTCCGGCTTTGATAGTAACATATATATTACATATAGGTACATACACATATATATTTTACTTACATGCGTCAGCTGCCTCGCAGCATACCCTGTGTACGTCAATAGCACACAAGTATACAAGTTATACACACACATTACGAAAAGTGAAAGTGGCGCGGGATAGGTAACGCACATTACATCTTCATATTTGGTTCATACAGGTCGCATTATATGAAAATCGATTCTTAAGGAAAAAACTCTAAAAACAAGGAACCTATGATATTACCTGATACACCRAAAGCAGCATTTGACAAGTTTGCTTGCAATGTCGACGAAGAAAATATCGAACTTATAGAATAAAAAGAAAACGTCCTAGGACGTAACCATATACATTAGCAAAATTTAAAAATTAGATAAAATATATAAATTGCTGTAATATCTGTGAGACGAGTGCCTCTATGCCAAATATCCTAATAAGCATTCGTGAAAGGATTGGACAGTCCGCCTTAAATAGCTCAATGGATAATGAGCAGCCGCCCGGAAACCGAAAGATTTGTGGTTTGAGTCCCGGTCCAACCAGTCCAACGGCCTAGTTTTTTCACACACGAATCCTACAATATTATTTGCGATTTAATTCTCTCCAATATATAATAATATATTGTTATTTYAGTATAATATTTAAAAACTTTAATCATTCATTAAAAATGTCAAATAGGTATTATTAATAGAATTATATTAAAGAGAAATATATTTCCTTTTACGTCGATTTTATAGAATTATACTATCTTGAAAACATTTTCCCACTTAGCCCCTGTTTCATTTTCCTTGATTAAAAAGATCAAAAAAGGTCAAATCGTTTCCTTATACATTGTATGGAAATTTAATTTGTCTAGAAAAAAACAATTTAAATTCACACGTCATCGCTAGCYTCTTTATAAGATATTTTCAAAGAAAAAGTACAATAACAATGCATCATATGTAAAAGCATTTAAATTTAAAAACAAATGTTATACATAACCATTTTAATTAAAGTTTTCCGTTAAGATATATAAACAGCAGCAACACTGAATAGCTTTACTAGCCACACGAAGTTGTAGCAAATAGTTTTGCTCGTATAGATATATTTAGCAAATATGAAAGYTGAAGGTTTAGAAGAAAATGCAGTGGTCATTTCTGGAGTATCAGAAAAATTTCCAAAAAGTGAGAATATCAATGATTTCAGGACGAATCTAATAAATTGCGTTTCCTCAGATCATACAAGATGGAAATTAGGTAAGAATTAGTATATAAAATTAATTTTTATACAGAAATATATTACATTTCAGTATATTCTTTATAAGTTTAATAAATTATTATTTTTTAGATAATTTGCCTAAAATAGCATTGCGTTTAGGGGCAATTTCTAATTTAACGAGATTCGATAACTAGTTTTTTGGAATTAATTCAATACATGCAAAATTTATGGCGCCAGAAATAAAATATGCATTGGAAGTTACGTTTAAAGCCATCATTATTGCCGGAATAAATCCTGTAGAGTTATGGAACAAGAAAACAAATGTTTACGGGGTACTAAGTTTAATTGAATTAGAAAGTACTGTTCTGAACGATAAAACTCAAGTAAGTTAATAGAATGATCTAATGGATTCTATTTAAAGGTAAAATCATTCTAAGTGCAATTATTTTAATTTTCATTATAGAAAGATGGACATAGTCTACTAGGATATTGCCGTGGTTTGCTATCAAACCGAATCTCGTTTTGTATGGGTTTAATTGTCTCAAGCTGCACTCTTGATTCAAACAGCAAATCAAGTTCGTTAGCAATTCGAAAAGCGTACGAGGCTTTAAAAGCTGAGGATTGCGATAACGCGATTGTTAGTGGTGGAGCCTTAAGCTCACTTCCCCAGAAATCTTATAAATTTTTGGAATTAGGTAAAATAAAAGTATACTAGGTATAATTACTTCCAGTACTTGCATGTAAAGACAAAAAGGCAATATTTTCAGCAAATTCAATTTTTTCCTAAATTATAAATAATTTGTTGTTTTTTTGTTCCATTATTTGGGTTTATTGTCAAAAGACGGGGTAAATAAATCTTTTGATAAGAATGCTTCTGGATTCTCGAGAAGCGAGTCAATAGAAACAATTTTCCTTCAAAAAGCCAAACATGCAAAGCGAGTTTATGCTAAGGTCATTAATATTTTCGTTGAGAACACAGATGCTAATCCCAAAAACACTTGTCTATTTCCTACAGCCGAATTTCAGGCTTCTATAATGAAACAGACATTGAAACACAGCGGTCTATAACCAAGCGACATAACATACATTGTGGCCGATGGTACAGCAATCAAATCGATGGATCTCGATGAATTAAATGCAATAGATCTTGTTTATGGTCAAGATCGAAGTTTTTTTAATTCTCTTTTATTAGGATCTGTTAAGTCTAACATTGGTTATACATTTAATAATAATGCA